TAGTAAAATATTCTATTCTTTGCAGTTTATTTTTGGCAAAAATTCTTTCATAAAAGTCTCTATAGCATAATTTACATATCGCAATTTTATTTAAGTTCCTTAATTCCTCTGGCTTCTGTGGCTCTTTACAACTGCAATAATGACTGGTCCTTCTTTTACTATGATAATATTGCCATTGTTCTTCGATTTCTTCTTTACTGCATTGGCATTTATAATTTTTGCTTGCATATTTTAAACCTTTTTTTTGACAATCTATTTTAATGTGCCCCAACTCATTGCATTTGTGGTATTCATTTTTTGGACAATTTCTGAAACAATGATCATAACTTTGACATTTACTGCATGTATTTTGTTTATAAGAATTCATTATTTATTAGATTATTTACTTGAAAAGAGAAATAATAAATTAATATTTTTTTACAATTCGACTGTATTTATAAACTTTACAAGATAATGTTAAATTAAATATTATCTAACTACATGTATTATTTTAGCTCTAGAATAATTACATAAATAATGATTGAGTAACACCAAGGAAATGTTTATTATTTACTGAATTCTTGAAGATAAGTGTGATTGAGTGACGCCTAGGGAAAGTTTATCATTTATTATTAAACTCACTGATCGAAGATAAGTATGATAAATATATTATTAAACTCACTGATCGAAGATAAGTATGATACATACGTAAATATATAACACATTATATATGCATTTTTTGAGGTAGCTTAGTAAATAAGCTCTAAGTCCGGTTTTTCTTTAGCGTCACTCATTTTGTATCTTTTAACGAGAATTTTCTATTTGTAAAGGTTTTTATCAAAGTTTTTGGTGAAATTGTTGGCCAGCATTATGAAATGTCTATCACGTTACCTTATCTCTGCCTATGTTAAGGCAGAGATAAGGTCATGTGAATTAACCCATACAACGCTAATTGGAAATATGTTTTACCTATATTTTTCAAGAACTTGTATTTAAAGTACATTATCATCGTTGTCGCAGTACAAAGAGAAAATATAAGGAATGCTTAATAGAGCAAAATTTATTATCTGAATGTTTTGAGGAACTTTGCATAAAATCCTTTTGCAATAAAACTAAAATAACAGTCATTTTCATTTTCTAACTGCTGCTAAATTTGTATTATCACATCGTTTTTTCTCTTACAGTTTTCGTTTGCCTTAAAGTTAAATAATATTTTTACAATTAGATTTCCTTTTATACAGTATCTACTTTCCGAAAATGTGTAATTATAAAATTGACTACAGAATATATAATATTTAAATATTATTTAAAAATTGACCTGAAAATAAAGCAAGTGGTTAAATTATCCTTGTTTAAAGTTTTTAAAAAACTTTTTAAAAAAATATTTGCTTGGTTTCTATTGACTCAACCCATGTACGTATTTTTAGATATATAATAATATCATATATCATTTTTTTGAGCAAGTTTTTGTTTTGGACCACCCACAAAACCACAGCAGTAAATAACCTTCTTGAGCAGGAAATCAGCTCTGAAGCTGCTATAGCTTCAAATACAGTGGCTTTTTGAATCTTTTTTTCTTTAGCAACTTTTTTATTGATCTTTTTGTGTTAAGGTTCTAGATATTAAAAAAATGTCATTAACCATTATACATAAGTAATATTTTATTAGAATAAAATTTACTTAAAAGTTTTCCCTGTGCATCACTCGTATTATATTTTCTTTGAATAAAATTTACTTTCAGGTTTTCCCTATGCTTCACTCATATATCATTATATTGTAATGAATAATCAAATAGACTCTCGAGTTAATCATATTAAAAATTAGTTAAAAATATAATCTCATCATTTAAGAAAACATTTATAAATATTACGGTTCAAGAAGATTCATATCTCTATTTTTTAAAAAAAAATTAAAAAATGATTGAGACAGTAGATAATAGAGACGAACTTATAAAATATTGCTTCGATATTTTGTGAAAAGCAACTGAAGAAAAAATAAGTTCAGTTACTTTTAATGAAAACCCATTATTCACAGTTACCTTTAACTTGGTCGATGGGACTTTCAAAACATTAAATTTAGATGCGCCAAAGGTAGTCCTCATTACTAGAGAAAACTCATAAAATTTTTAAGAGTTATCGAACAGAATGAAAAGGAAGTTGCAATCGATGACGATGAGGTAATTACAATTATCTTTTAAGTTTGTCATATATAGAAACTAACAAGCCAAAAATCTTATAAAGGAATCTAGTAATTCATCAACAGAAATAGCCATTCAAGAAAGTGCACAAAATTCTAGCTTCGATGTTGAGGCAGATAGTACTTTATTGATAATAATTCTGGCAATCCCATATTCATATCTTCAAGATTCAAAAAAAAAAAGTATACATTAAAACTTCGAAATTCATTTAATATCACTAATGCTTAAAATTCTTAGAACAGTCTTCTATTATATTTGAGATCACTAGATTCATTTTTTCTAATATAATTAAAATTCAAAGGAATTAATACAACATGCTGACTCTTTTTCAGATGAATATTCTAACTCTGATGAAGAAATTGATGAACAGAATTTTAATGCAGCTTTAACTTTATTGCATGAGACAAAAAGTAATTCTACTGACAGGCATCAGTTCAATGTAAAGAAAGTTAATAAAAATGAACGATTTAATAAGGTAGATAAACACTAATCAACTAAACATAATAATAATACTGATTAATTAAACAATTGTATTAACTAAAAGATTAATGATGAATGAATTTCTTCAAACTTGACTGAGGATAGTTCCCTGCAAAGTATTAACGAAGCATTGGTAAATATAAAATTAAGTGTTCTGGTTTATTAAGTTACATATCATAAATATTTAAAGTTTAAAAATTTTAGGGCCAATCGTTAATTATCAATACTAGTAATATAGAAGATGGTGATGAATGTGATGAAATGGAGGATATTCAAATGAACCAGAAATATAATGTTAGTAATATTGATCAATTTACTTTTTTCGATTTTTATTTTATATAATTTAAAATGTATATTTATTACTTACCTCTGCAAAAATATTGTTTATTGACAATTATACAAGAACCATTTTCTGTGTGAATCGTCTGATACTGGTATGTAATTAGATATTTTTTCTAAACAAAGTATCACAGTAAATTAATATATCTTCTATTGTGATTAGAGCGTGAATTATTATCATCAAACGCTGCCAAAGAATCACAAGCAAGTGGTGGACGCGTCTCTTTAACATTAACAGATAGTCTACTACCAAGCATTAATGAAGC